AATTTCTAGCGCTGCTTGTTTAATGACTCGCATTTACTTCGTACTGATGGAGTTTTTGTATTTGCATTTAGGTCTCGGGTTAAAGCGCCTGGAGGTGCACAATAATTTGTCACCATTACCGGCAAACCACACACAATTTCCGAAGGGAATGTTATGCGAATTCCACCACTATAGCGTTCCCTAGGTGTTGCTACTAGGATAATACCGCTTTCTATCTACTCGCAATCTTCCATTGGCGATTCGCATTGGAAGATGGCTAATAAGTTATCTTGCGACAAGTATGTAACAATTCGTGACAGCATGTTTTGTTCCGCCACCGCATATGTCGAAGATTAACACACACCTTACGCTATACTGAAAACCGACGATATTTCTGGCAGCGTAAATGTACTTACCGTGCTTGCTGTTATTTTTCTAAGAGGGCCTTGCGGCTTATGACGCAAATTATTGTGTGCAGCTGGACGTTTCTTGTTCAGCTTCCTTTTCATCCCTGATTTTTCGTGTTTACTCGATGCGAACCCGACGTGCACAAACGCATTATTTGTAAAACCGTGCTCACTTTGTGTTACCATAAAGGCAGAAAGCAGGCCGAGGCGACGGGAAAGAGGCTGGCGGAATTGAACTTGCCTTACTCGGTGATAGTGAGATCCACCATGACGCGCGCTCTGGAAACTTCGCTAATTATAGAAAAGAGTCTTGCAAATGTGCCAGTTGAGAATGATAGTCTGTTGGTCGAAGGTGCACCTATACCCCCGGAGCCGCCTATCGGACACTGGAAGTCGGAGAAACATGTAAGCAGAATATGACCGATATAAGTTGCGGTCACGCTGCCGCTACAAACGCTTCGAAGCGTTTCTCTTCTCCTTCGATCTCTACTGAAAGAACGGAGAGGAATACTTGAAAGCACTTGAAGCGACAGCTCGACCGCGGCCCATAATCGACCGTACCGAGAAGATCTCGAGGCTCCAATTCTCGCGACGCATAACAATTCGATCTACCTGCATTCTAGTTCTTCCAAGATGGACCCAGGATAGAAGCGGCGTTTAGAAAGTACTTTCACCGCGCCGATTCTAGCCAGACTGAAGATTCTTACACCGTTCTCGTATGCCACGCGAACGTCATCAGATATTTCGTTTGTCGGTAAGACCTCTCGCCTCCCGTATCGCTCGGGAACTCGGATAGTGCTCTCTGTTCTCGTCTTACGAATTCTCTTTCAAGGGCGTTACAATTCCCGCCGGAAGCATGGCTGCGGATATGCTTGAAACACGGAAGCATCACCTGGCTCTGTATTCATCCAAGCGGTAGAGTCGCCATCTTTTGTCTAGGAGACACTGGACATATGCCACCGCAGAGTATAACGTCTAGCTAAAAATGTGTGGCCCACGTGACGCGACTACGTGCATTTAAACGACGCATCTTCGATAAGCGTATACCAACGTATACATCGAGACTGCTCTCCGCAAGAACGAGGTGTGCGAGAGAGATCTCGCGTCATTGTAGCGGGAATAATTCACTTCTCACACGGCTTACGCTCGCTGGGTGGAACTGCGTGCAATTGTACGAACGTGCGGGCGAGCCGCCGACCTCCGTAAAAGTATTTCGACGCAACGTGCACGCGAGGTAACGAATACGCAAAGGCTAAACTACATTTAAGGAAGTTGTTTATCTCGTGCATCTGAGCGTACATATTTTCCCCCTTAGCTCAGTTGTGCAACCGAGCTACCTAAATTATAAGAAAGTCGTTTGAGCATTTGGATTGTGTACGCATATTTTTTTAAATATAGTTTTTTAATGTCACAAAATAAGTATCCACGACTTATCCTCGTTGATTTTCATTATACACATTTTTACAGTCGGAGGTGACGCCATTTGTTTTTGTTTGTACAATTTTACTGGTAAAATAAGGTCGGTATTCGCAGTCATTTGACCGGTAGACGAGGGTGAGGCGGACAGTGCGAGCGATGTTGGCGTTATATAAAAATTAGCGTAACTATAAATTAACTACATCTAATTCGCCGCGACCAGTCTTTTCGCCTTCCTCGCGTAATATCTTTCCAGCGCTGCTTCGAACACCGGTCCTACCGTCCTCTTTTCCCAGATGGAGGATCTATCTTTCTTCTCAACGGGCTCTTCCTTACACTCAGCCTTTTCATCCTCCGGAGTGGTATCGTCCCGAGGTACCTCGGCGTCTCTCACGCCTGTATCTTTGTCCTGGTTATCCGCGGCATCCTCGACGCGAGTTTCGCCTAACTTTTGCTTCTTTTCCTCCAGCTCCCGCGCCTCTGCCCCGCCGGCCTCCCCGTCCACCGGCGAAACGACGGTCTGGTCTTTCTTCGGCTCCTCCTTGCCCGTCTCCGTTTCAGAATCGGACTCGTACGCTTCTACGGCTCGCTGCCTGTACTGCCTCGACTTCTTCGACCTCGTGATCGCCCTCTGCCCCTCCGCCGTCTCGTCTGCCCTCCTATTCGCGCTCTCCTCATTCGCGCTGCTCGTCGAGGTTTTCCGTTTCCTCTGCTCGGCACTCGCCTCCTCCGCCTTGCCGGTCCCGCCTTCGTCGGCGTCGCCCTTGCCCTTGTAGTCAACGGTCTGCTCGTACAGATGACGGTAGAAGCCCGACATATCCTGCTGCTTGGTAACGTCGCCGATAGCCTCCAATCTGTTCATCTTGGCCTCCTCCTCCTCCATCTTCTTGAACTCCTCCAGCTTCGCCCGGTACGCCGACGTGACGAAGCTCTCCTTGTCCGCGTACATCTCGCCCTCGGCCTCGCGCTCCTTCTGCACCATTCTCTCTATCCTGTGCTCCTGCTCCTTCTTCCTCCGCTCGGCCGTCTTCAGGAGCCTCTGTATGTACTTGGACTTCTCCTTCTGCTTGCTCGCGCCGTCCGACTGGCCCTTGCCGCGCTCCAGGTCGTCGTACACCTCGTCGTACTGGTAGATGGTCGGGTCCTCGTCCAGGGCCTTCTGCATGTCGAGCCTCGTCTGCCTCTTCACCCGGTTCTTCTCGCCCTCCGCCTTGAGGGCCTTCCGCACCCAGTCGGTGCCGTCGTCCTCGTCGGAGGCATCGTCGTCCCCGAAAACGTTGCCGAGCCTCGGCGCCGTGCTCTGCTGCTGCTGCTGCTGCTGCTTCTGCTGCTTCTTCGCCAAGATCAGGCCAAACCTGCGCAACACGGGGGAACATGAAACCGCGAGTGCAATCGGTCGGCACTAAAATACGAGACAATGCCGTCGTTACTCACTGTTTATTAGCCATTGTCGATTAGCGTCCCCGAACGGCACGGCGTGATCTATAACCTAGCGCTGCTCCTAATCTGATCCGTGCCGCGGCTCCGCGTGAGTCACGACGCGCGATCCGCCGCCTCCTTCTCGCGGACTCGTAACGAGCTGCCCGGCGAACGTGCGGAACGGCCGGGCGCGCTTAACGATAATCTTCGCCCCGGTGAGAAGCGATAAACGTCGCCGCGGCGCGATAGCTCCGGTGCCGCGCGATTTATCGCCGTAATTAATCGGCGGCTTATCGCGCATGAACCAACGGGAGGGAACGTAGAAGGACGCTCGTTCGGCGAATGGTCAGGTGACTTTCGCACGACCCCCCCCCCTGCCCCCCCTCCACGCCGACACGTCGCCCACACGCCCGGACGTGCGGACGTCAGCACTGTGTATATATGCGGACGGATCAAGGGGTATATCCGTGATATGAGCCTCTGACAGTCTTCCCCGCGGTAGATACAGCCAGGGAGCGCGCAGCCAGGTGGGTAGCGAGAATCGTCGTCCCCGAGAGCGCGCGCCCGCGCGTACGAGAACCGCAATGGACGGACGAGGCGTCCTGGTGCTCGCGCTCGTCTGCGCGACGGCCGCCCTGGCGCGCGGCTACGCGCTCAACGTCGCCGAGGAGCCGCGGGACGGCGACTACGTCGGCACGTCCTACACGCACTACGAGGAGCTGCGACGGCTGCTCGGCGACCTGGCGCGCCGGCACCCGCGCCTGGCGCGCGTCTTCTCCATCGGCAAGTCGGTCGAGGGCCGCGACCTCCTCGTCCTGGAGATCTCGGAGAACGTGGAGCGGCGCGCGCCCGTCGAGCCCATGGTCAAGCTCGTCGCCAACATGCACGGCGACGAGGCCGTGGGCAGGCAGCTGCTCGTAATCCTCGGCCAGTACCTGCTGGACCGCTACGGCAAGGACGACCGCGTCACCCGGCTGGTCAACCAGACGGACATCTACCTGATGCCCTCCATGAATCCGGACGGCTTCGAGAACTCGGTGGTAGGACGCGCGTGCCGTTTGCCTCCTCGCGCGCGGACGTGTCGCGGATAATCCCGGATGACAATCTTGCGTTTCAGGAGGGCAAGTGCGAGTCCAAGGACGACTTCTCGGGCAGAGAGAACGCCAATCACGTCGACCTGAACCGGGACTTCCCCGATCAGTTCGACAGACGGCTCAGCCAGCTCAAGAAGGGCATCTCCATCCTGAACAGCCGCCAGAACGAGACGGTGGCTATGATGACCTGGATCTCCAACGAGCCCTTCGTGCTCTCCGGCAATTTTCACGGTGGTGCCGTGGTCGCCAGCTATCCATACGATTCTGGGTATATCGTGCGCGCCTAATCTACAATGTGCTCTTTGCGTCTGGAAACACTCGGTCGAGGGGGAAACCGCCGAGGGCATTGTGGTGTACAGATTTGCGGCATTACTGGGCATTAGGCCTTGCTGGGGCATAAAGATAAAACAAAGTAATGCCCGCTGGGCATTGGTGGGCATTGGTGTACAAGATGTTGGTCAGCGCTTTCTCCCTCGGTTTTACATGAGCAAGTCAAAAACGCTTTGAAAAATTCGTCGACAACGTACGATTGTACAACGTATAACGTACAATTTATCAACCTGCACATATTTTTTGAACGTATTTGCTACAAAGTTAGAACGTTTCCAGGCGCGAAGAGCACATCTTGAAGATGTCTTTTAGACATACGTGTTGTTTGGGATTGTTATTGGAGATCTTGTCCGTGTCGTCTGACGAGACGTGTGTCATTTCAGCATCCCAAAAGCGTGCTGCATAGAGAGCAAGAGCCCAGACGATAATTTATTCAAGTATCTCGCCCATGTTTACGCGGACAATCATCCACAAATGCGCAAGGGCGACGCCTGTCCGCCGGAGATTTTCCGAAGTGGCGTGACAAATGGAGCATACTGGTGAGAATGGAAATATCGCGTCTCTTAAAGTAACATTCAAGTTGCAAATACCCGCTGGATAAAGACCAACTTAATAGTCGCGGAACTGTTGGCTCGCTATTCGCAGGATTGAACAGTGTCATAAAAGCCGTTGAATTTGTCGGCAGGTACGAAGTGATCGGTGG